TTCCCGCGGTTAGGTCCGGAAAGCAGTTTTCAAGTACGGTAAATTACTGAAGCTGTACTTTTTTTCTAATTACAAGTTGTGTTTCTCGTTTCATGTGTCACAGTAATGATCAATCTACATGTTATTTAGTGCTGTAACACATCCTAAAGTTTGCCTCGTCAGAGTTTTTCAGTAAAAAAGTAAATCGGGTTTAAATGTCAGGAGTTCCTTTCGGGACGGAAGTAACACTTGTTACTTTTGTCCCGCTGCTAATGTGGTGACTTTCTGGGTGTTGCAGCATTTATTAAAACATGTTTATGTCATATTATACCAACAGAATATGCCAAGAGTTAGGGTCAGAAAGACAGACAGGGGTCTGATTCAGCCAGATATTTATGAGAGGGCGTTTCTGGACATATCTGTCAGGAACATCAGTCTCAGGGCAGCTGCTAAGTCGCATGGCATATGTCATGTCACTTTGCTCAGATACTGCAGGAGGAGGGCAGAGGCCAGTAGGGAGAAGACTAGACCACCAGGGTACAGATTACATTCTAAAGTCTTCTCTGTGGACCAAGAGAGGAAACTGCAGGCTTATATTAAGAGGGCAGCTGATATTTATTTGGGCCTGTGTCCTAAGGAGGTAAGTGTAGTACAGCAAAAACACTCAACATGCAGCTCACTCGCACTGCTCTTACTAAAACAATTTTAAATGCTTATCAAAATGTGAGATTTGTGTATTCTTTAAATATATTTTTCATTTTTATCGTAGTTAAATTTTTATTGACATTTTTGTCCTATCTTTCTAAATTATGTTTCATTTTCCACTGTCTCTGAAGCTGCTGCAACATATAAAAATCCCCAGTGCAGGATCAGTAAAGTCTTATTTTATCTTAATCATGTCATAAACAATCTCCATCTAACCTTTTTTTTTTTGTTTTAGTTGCGCAAATTTGCATACGAATTGGCCAGCAGATATGGCTGCAAATATCCAGATGTATGGGATGCCACCAAGATGGCGGGAAAGGACTGGCTCACCTCCTTCCTTGAACGCAACAATACATTGTCTATTCGCCGACCTCAAGCCACCAGCATGTCCCGTTCCACCAGCTTCAATAAAACAAATGTGACTGCTTTTTATAACAACCTGCAGACAGTTCTTGCCCGCTACCTTTTTGAAGCAAAGGACATTTGGAACGTGGATGAAACAGGTAAATTTTACAATTCATTAAAACTAAAAAGCTAGAGTGATTCAGTGGTTTAAAATACATGAGACAAATTCATTGCTATGTAAAATTTAATAACATATATAAACTATAGACCTTAATATACATACATACTGTAGCCTATACAGATAAATATATACAGATTATAAAACTAAGGTGAATATGTAATTATATAAAAACACTACACACACACCTAGCTAAAATAAATACATATACAAATAAATAAATTAATTCATTAATTAATAAATACAGATATAGAGATAATAAAACAATAATGAAAATAAATATGTAACTATATACAAACACTAACTATACACACACACATCTAGGTATAAACACCTACAAATGTTCATGAAAGCTTATCAAAGTTTATAATACATTTTCAGGTACCACGACAGTCCAAGTGCCAGATAAAATAATCGCCACCAAGGGGAAGCGCCAGGTCGGTGCAGTGACCTCTGGGGAGAGGGGGACATTGGTCACCACTGCCCTTGCAGTAAATGCACAAGGCAATTGCATTCCCCCGTACTTCATCTTTCCCAGGAAGAAGTTCCAGGACCACTTTGTGAGAAATGGTCCCATTGGCTCTCATGGTTCTGCAAATAGCTCAGGCTGGATGCAGGATACAGACTTTCTGGCCTTTCTCCAGCACTTTGCCAGACACACCCGTGTGACCCTGGAGTCGAAGGTGCTTCTCCTCCTCGACAATCATTGGTCACACCTTTCTGTGGCAGCAATTGACTTTTGTCGGTCAAACGGCATAGTCCTTCTATCGTTCCCACCCCACTGCTCACATCGTCTCCAGCCACTTGACAGGAGTGTCTTTGGTCCACTGAAGCGATATATAAACACGGCAGCAGATCACTGGATGAGAACACACCCTGGAAAATCTTTGACCATCTATGAAGTTCCAAGCCTAGTGGCCACAGCTCTGCCACGAGCAGCGACACCCAGAAACATAACGTCTGGCTTTGTGTGCACTGGCATCTGCCCCTTTAACCCAGATATTTTTGAGGAGCAAGACTTTTCACCTGCCTATGTCACCGACCGCCCTTTTCCTTCACTGGTACCATGTGGTCCCACACCACATTCCAACAAACACCCACTTAGCCAGAGCCTGTTTGAGGGAGGGCTGCTGCCAGAGTATCCTGGTGGTTCAACCAGGGACGCCTGTTTAGAGTCTGCCATCCCTAACCACCCAGCTGTCTGTTCAGGCAAGATAAAATAAGATAGAACTTGGTTAAGCCCGAAGGATTTTAATAAAATAATAACTAAAATAGAATTGTGCACGATATTGATATTATTGTTTGTCTGCTGATTAAGCTGTCCCACTGAAGAAGGGGGAAGATGTCTGCTTGATGTCCCAGGGGGGGGCGACAGGTACACTAGTCTAGGCCTGAGTTCCAGGACTTCTGTCCAGGCATTCATTCCAGAAGCTGTACGTCCCTTTCCTAAGGCTGGTCCAAGAAAGGACACAAAACGAAGAGGCAAAAGGAGGTGAGTGGCATTTGGTTTTTGCTTTGTCCCGAGTAATTTCTTAATACATGCTGCTACCATGTGGACAGAGGATGAGCAATAATTGGTTGGCTGTAAATACAAATGTTGACAACAATTTTTCTCACTTTGAATGTTGCAGGTCAACGATTTATTGTCCCAGCCCTAGTTTTAATATTTCAGTTTTTTAAATTTCATGCATCACAACATTTAAAGGAATAGGTCACAAAAAATTGCTGAAGATGTACTGAGGTAGTGCTGGGAGATGAGGCAAAAAATAAAATCGTGATTTTTTTTTTCAGAAAACTTGACCGATTCAAGATTTCTGTTTTTTTTTTTTTTTTACATCTAACTAGTCAACTTAAAAACATAACAACAGCACAATTAATGTAACATTCTCTTTATTAAAAATATGCAAAACCATCTGGTTAAAGAAAGTTATATTCCAAGTGCACCACACATGAAGTGGTCAATATGGTGTAAACGTAAAACAAATTCACTTAAATATTCTGGCAGAAAAGAAACATGAAATATGAATGCAAATATTGTACAAACTTGTCTTAAACATATCCTTTAAGTTCAGAAAGAATTTCTATTTATAATATAGAAATAATATAATAATTTCTATTCTAATTACTTAAAAAGAAAAATGCTAAATATTCCTTAGCATTCAGTAAGACATTCCGTTTTAGAGGTCAGCTCAAAAAGTCAAGACAATTCAAGTTCAAAAAGACTGAAAGTATAACATCAGTAGACTATTATTAACAGTAAATGTTTTGTAAAAACAAAGAAAATAACAGAACCTTTCAGCCTGTCACCATCATGCAAACATGAAATATGAAACATGCAGTAGTAATTCTTAACAGGTTATTACATTCCACTGTGCTGCTTTTCCATTATTATTTTTTTTCTATGAAATTCGACATTCTAAAAACGTGGCACTTGAAGAAGTTCAATTCACATCTTATAACCTTGCATTTGTTTTTTTCCCATTCCACTGCCCGCGGTGTTCTTGTGATTTGGGTGAACTATTCCTTTGTGAAATGGTACAATTCATATAGTTGGCTGAATGTGAATGTGTGTGAATAGCAGATCATACACTTGCAAGTTTTTGTGTAACTTTAGCACGAGGACAGTGAGTGTGCATTTACTGAGAATTTAGTTACTATTCTGCTACACTTTCAAAAAAGTGTATCTCTCCCCAGCTCGGGTTCTCTCTCACTCACTTTCCTCATGTCAAATTATAGAATGATTTATCACTATTATTATTGTTACTTTCTCCTCCCACATTTAGATACTTAGATACATACTGGGTTAATTACAACTTCACAGTTTACATACCACAGCAAGTTAAACACCAGTCAATTACCATAGAAAAGTATTTAATTAATTTACTATTAATCAAAAAATATGAAGATTGTTTTATATTAATACAGAATAAGCTTAGACCTCATCACTACTCTCTTGGCTAGTTATGTGAGTCTAATCTGAATATTCTGTCATTTCTTTTTTTTATTTTGTTTGTTTGTTTTTTGCAGGAGGTACTTAATGTCAGCTCCCAAGACCTTGCAACTCTAATCCGAGCTATAACTTTAAACAAGCTGAGATTTATGCAACAAAAATGGTTAACCCAAGCAGTTCTCTCAGATTCTCCACCTATGCAGAGCTGGCTAAACTAGGCCGGGATGTTCCCGTCTGAGATAGCCATGTCAGCACTGTCAATGTTACCCACATTTAGCCAGGAGCGAGAGGAGATTACTCTTAGGGGAGTGGGGGATTAGACATTGTTCAGCGGCTTGTTTTGAGATGGATGAAAGGAGCATTGACTCAGACATAGACAGTCATTCATGCAGCTTCACAACAACCATGTCCTCAAGTAGACGTCATAGGCGGAGCATGTGTAAGGCTGGGGAAGGCCTTCCCCTGGCCACCGGGACTTGCGGCAATAACACCAAATTGGACAAAAATGCCCCAGAACAATTAAACTAAATCTATTACGTCTGTCATGAATAAAGTGAAAATGAATGACTGCGGCATTAAAATAAGATCTGCTCAGGTTGCACCATATTTATTTTCACGCGTTTTACAGCGTTGTGCATTATAACCAATGAAACACGATTCTGTTGAGCTTATGGGTGCTTCTCAAACGGAAGGCTGCATATCTCGGCTGCCACGTCATCAAACATCGCTGAAGGCCATCTCAAATTGGAAGGATCCTTGGAAGGCAGCCTTTGTTTCGCGTCCTTCATTCAGCTGAATTTGAAGGATGCATGGGATGTCACCTCCGCGACCTTCAGTCACCCACAATCCTTTGTACCTATTCCATTTCATGAAAATAAACTGACGAAAAACGAGTCAGTACTGAGCTTGTCTGATTTTATTATGCAATGTAAGACAAAAATAATGTTTTCGGACATGAAAGGATAGATGTTATCTTTTGTTTTGGTGTAAATTACTTGCTAAACTGCCAATAATTTAAGTCACGGGGAGACTAGACGTCTGTGATCCATTGTATTGCATTAATAGAAAGCTAAATAATATAAAGATTTGTAATACAAAGTATTTTTCCAAAAGTAAGTTTTATTAGTGTTTTAGTGCTGTGACGGTGAGGGCGGGAATATATGTGACGTAGCCACGCGCACTTACTAGAGCGTCTCATTCTAGCGTTTAATGCCGAGGACGACTCTAGCCTACAAGACTCTGAAGGACTGAACTAGGAAAGACACAGCCTCGGTAGGATGCAGCCTTCCGTTTGAGAAGCACCCTATGAATGCAGTGACAAATCAGAGGCGTTCAGATGAATCATCGCTGACAGTGTGCACACTCGCAGACTGAATTCTGCTCTCTGGCGAATTCTCTCATCATAAACAAAACACAGATGTACGATGTAAGTAAGAGAATCATTTCACAGTGTAGACAGCTTTATTGACTATAACGATAGTTGTTGTTGTTTTTGAGAGTGCTTAAACTCGCTATAGATTGAGTGATTATGTTCTTTGATAATGTGATAATGTTCTTCGCTCTCTTTCTGTAGGCTATATAATTTTCGCTGTTGAATAACCGTGGAAATTAAAACGTTATAATTAGTAACTTAAAACTTTTATTTATTTATTTTATTGTAATCATGTTAAATACAAATTCAGTCCTGTTAAAATATTTTATTTGCCTACATGGCACCCATATGATATCTGGCAGCCTACTTGCTTATGTAGTTAATAGATTACACCGGGGATGGTTCTAGGATTTCATCTTCAGAGGGGCTGATTGTTCAGACAAACCTACAAAAATACAAATTACCTAAATAAACTTTACAGTGCTTGTGAAAACTTCATTACTGTATGAGGTAAATATTCACAAATACCCATTAAAACTACAGAATTTACTTAAGAGCAGCGAGCAATCCTCTGTTTTTATTTTGTTGTTTGATTAACATTATTAACATAAAAAATGCTCGGATCCGTCATACTGACGCAATCAGATATTTTCTTAACTGTTTAAGTTCAGTTAAGACGTTACCGACGGTGTTTACGTGGATACTCGTCAAGACAGCCATTCTGACATAATTTTGTGAGTATTTGCTCAAAAAGACGCGAAAGAGAACTCAATACGGTACTCGCACCCGAGCGGTGGCTTTCTTTGTGCGTGCTTCAGGTGTGTGCACGCAACAATCTATGACATGCCGCGAGTACCACATTGAGATCTATTTTGCGACGTACTTGCGCTTGAATAGTTTAAAATCACTTTAATGTTTAAACTAACAAGACTTAAAACAAATGAGAATGTGGGTGGGGGTCTAGAACCGCCCCTGAATTACACTAACATTAGTCTACTTTTAGCCTTACTCTGGAGTTGGTTCACCCTCCGCCTATGGTAGATGTCACAACATTTCCGGGATGGTTTTGTGCAGCCTCATTTGCTTTTGGGTCTCTGCCGATTATAGACCTAGATTTTAACCCATCACTGTGGAAGGTTCTATAACCCTTATTAAATCCACAGCTTAGATTGTTAATTAAAGGACTCAGTTGCTCTCTTGTTTTTCCACAGTTGTAGGTGATGTGACATCTCTATCCAGTGATGTGCAAGCTAGCAGAGATGCTATGTCATGCGTGCATGAAATCAGCATTGCATGACTATTTCCCAGTCCCAAGCATCACTCACTGCTGCCTAGAGCTTTCAGCATTAGCATTATAGGCTGCAGACATGGTTGTTGGTAACGTCATCACGCAAGCCCTAAATCTCATCAGCTGAATAAAAAAAGGAGGATCACCATTTAATTTATCTACTTGCATGTGAGCCTGAGACTTTTGGTCTTGATTGGCAGTTGTAGTGTTGCATCCTTGCTACTCAGTGGCCCTGAAGCTATACATTATTAAACACTGACAGTTATTTTCTGTGCTGTGTTACCAGTTCATGTATTGTGCTTGTAATATTAGTGTTTTTGCTGAGTGTATTGCAGGATAGGGCAAAATTCAGAATCGAATAATTGGCTCACTTTCAAGTCATGAGCTGGAATTTGAATTGAATTGGCCACACCCTACTAAATGTTGAACTGGAATTTGAATTTGAGTTAAGGGAAGTGGTATGTGTTAAATTATAATTTTGAGAAATTCAACAAGTAATGACATTTTTGGAAATGACACATCTCTCCTTGTTCATAAATTTATGTAAATAAATATAGAGAGGTAATATAGAGAGGTCTTGACAAACCTTTTTTGTCTACCTAAAATTAAGCTTATTGCAGTTC